ACAAATCTCTTCCTTCTATGGTCCCCATACTCTCACAATTAAGAAACCTCTGAGTCATCCCCCTCAGATAATCAATCTCTAACTCCTGCCAATACCACCTCCTAAAGTGTCCACGGAAACCACACCTGCTTTTCACCTCAAAGCCTCTCACCTACCCTACTTCGAAAGTAGTCTTGCCCGTTATCAACTCATCTCCCACCGTGGGTCCCAAGAGTGGATCTTTCTAAAATGTACATCTGATCGTGTGAGAAAGTCTGAACTCTGCAATCTGGCATTCAAAGGTCTTCACCTTCCTGCCCTTGTGAACTTTCTTAGCCTCACTTCACACCATATATTCTAATAAGGAATGAATATGAGACTAACAACCAAGCTCATCTTAGTTCCCCAAACTTAACGCGTGGTAGCTCAATGCCTAGAATGACTCCCCATCCAACATGCTCATTCCCCAGGAAAAGTCCCATTTGTCCTTGAAAAGCCAGTCATTTCAACCTCTAACAGGCTTCTCTCCCCCAAATTCCTCCCCAGCAGACGATGCCCACAGACCAGGTACCTGGATAAGTGTTCAACAACATCTAAACAAACCCGTTATTTAACTCGTTAATAAACATTGGCTTTAAATAATCTCTGGTACCGGTTGGGTGTGATGACTCACACCTGTGATCCTGGTACTCTGGGAGGCTAAGGCAGGAGTTCAAGACCAGCCAGAGCAAGAGTGAGATCCCATCTCTACTAAAAACAGAAAAAATAGCAGGGTGTGGTGGCACACCCCTGTAGTCTCAGCTACACAGGAGGCCAAGACAAAAGGATCACTTGAACCCAAGAGTTTGAGGTTGCTGTCAGCTGTGACGCTATGGCACTCTACCCAGGGCAACAGAGGTAGACTGTCTCAAAAAACTAAAATAAAATAAAACTGGAATGATACTGAGATTAACCGTTCCATATTTTTATGTCTTTTGTAGCAACTTGGATGAACTGGAGACCATCAACCTAAGCAAAGTAACTAAGGAATGAAAATCAAATTCTGCACACTCTC